CCTCTTTGTATATTTAAAAAAAAACCAAAAACAAAAAACAAAACTCATTGGCATCGAGTTGATTCTGACTCATAGCGACCCTATAGGACAGAGTAGAACTGCCCCGCAGGGTTTCCAAGGAACAGCTTGGTGGATTCGAACTGCTGACCTTTTGGTTAGCAGTTGAACTCTTAACCACTGCACCACCAGGGCTTCCTTTGTATATGGGGGATTTAAATTTCTTATATCATACGTTGCACTCTCTTCCATTTTGTTTTTTGGTCTTGAGTTTCACAAATATTTATGCTGTTGGTTTTTAAGTGTTGTACTTAACACTGATTATCTTTTAGTAAATACATTTAAAAAAAGAATAAAATGTTAAGCTAACTTTCGTTAAAATAAGATGGTAATTCCCTCTATGATGAGTTATCGACCTTAAATTGAGAGGACTGCCATTGTTTTTATGCAGTTAATTTGAATCCACTGTCATTTTTATTGCTAATACTCTATAGTAAGCAACTTCCCTTAACAAGTGGTTATGTGTGATCTCTCTCCTCTGCATTTCACTTGGCAGATGGCAATGTGACTTCTTCCTTTTGCTTGTCTCCAGGTTCAGTCTATTGTTTTCCTAAAATGCTGTATAAGTAACATTAGATAAAAAGCTTTTTTAAAACTATAATTTCCTGTAGAAAAGAGCTCAACTTTGATATAGGCGAAAAATTTTTTTTTTTCCTGCTAAGAGTATTCCAGATTAACTTTCTAGGATTGAGTTGAGATAAAGATAAGCTTTGGAAAGAACAGATTAAATTTTGTTGTTTCAGATGAGAAGTTCAACCATGTACTCTTTTTTATACTTTATTTTAATCAGTGATTTGTGTGAAGTGACTGCTTGGTTTCGTTTAGTCGAGAAAGATTCCTCCAAATTCATGACTGCAAGGGAAGTTTGTTGTATTGATTGATTAAAACACAACTCTCACTGAGAGATTTTTGTTTTGGAGGCTTTTTTTTCCCTTAAGGTGTATGTGGTAGTATGATGTTTTGACACTTTACTGTATTTAAACACATGTGAACTGAAGTTTGTGTGCCTTTTATACTCAGTATGTAATACTGTTGGCTATAGCCATCATCTAGTTTGATGGCTTTGGGGATTTTGAGTTAGTTCTCTTACATAATGATGATAGTTTAGTAAAACCATGGTGCATTTACCGTTTGAACCTGAGAACTAATAGATCATTCTGAGATTATCTGATTGGCTTTATCATAGCTCTACTCTTGCCATCAGATTTACAGAGTGTTTAATTGCTAGTATTAAGAATTTGGCATTACTCCCTATTTTCCTAGAAAGTATAGGGATGGGAAAAGATTATTAGTAAAGATGAGTTTGGAATTCTCATCCACAAACAAATTAACCTAAATTTAAAGCCAAATTTAGCCAAAACCATGTATAATTTCCCCCAGCTCTGTTTTATACCCAAGATTTGTTCTTGAATTTTGAGAATGTGAAGGCAAAGCTTAATTTTATTTCTTTGAATGAATGAATGAACTTTGTCTCCCATTGATCTTCTACATGCCAATTGGATTCAAAGAGAGATTGATTCATTTAGGAATTTGTATTTGATCATTTCAGTATTAGCTAGAGTAATACTAAGATTGTAATATTTAACGAATATTATAGAATGTGAAGTATATTTCTCTGATTTGGAGACAGACTACCATAGTTAAGAGTACTAGCTCTGGAGTCAGATCTTAAGTTAGTTGCGAGATCATAGGTGAGTTACTTAACCTCTTTTAAGCCTCACTTATCTGTAAAGTGGGTATAATAATATTGCCTCTCTAACCTAATTGTAGTAATAAATAGATTAATGAGTATGAAGTGCCTGGCATAATGCCTTACTTTTGATTAACTACTATCTTGTCTTTTAAGTTCAGTTGCAATAAAAAGCATTTCTGAAGATTATTCTGCTTCGTTTTAAGACTGAAGTTAAGCAAGGGTAAAAACCAAAACCGAACCAGTTGCCATTGAGTCGATTCTGACTCATAGTGACCGTATAGGACAGAGTAGAACTTCCCCATGGGGTTTCCAAGGAGTGCCTGGTGGATTCAGACTGCCGACATTTTGGTTAGCAGCCAGCCTTTTAACCAGTACGCCACCAGGGTTTCCAAGTAGGGGTACCAATGTAAATTAAAGCAAAAAGGAACCTTTTGCTAATAAGCCAGTAAGCATTTTAGCATAGACTGGTACATGTTGATTACTTTTGCTGAAATTAATATAAACACTTTTATGAGCATTGTAGTTTATAAGTTATTGTGGAAATAATTTTCCTGACTTAAAAAACAAAACCAAAAAAACCCTTTTATTCACTTTCACTCAAAATATCTTAGTAACTTGGCATGACATTTTATTTTTCCACATCTTGTATGCTGGTACCATTCTAAAGCAAAAGAGTATCAGAAGTTACAGTTTTGATGTTCCAGTTCATTTGAAATTGAATGTGGCCTTACTCAGGTGGTTGCCTTTTCTGTGAAGTCTTCTTTGTCTCTGCCCTATTGGTACTTTGATTATATATGCCTTACTATGCAAATATGTCACAATGAGTTATGTTTTGTTTGTAGGTCTGTGTTACCTACTAGATGGTATTCTCCGTTTGAGGAAAAGGTGTGTTTTTAATTCATCTTTGTATTCCAAGTACTTAGAATAGTTCCTCATACCATGTAGGTTTTTAAATGTCTAGTGGAAAATATATTTTTCCTGCAAGGAATAAATAATAGTTCAAATAATTTGGAAATTCTCTTATAGATGAGGTTTTACTATGATTTATGTTCTATGCAGTGAGACTTCTGTACGTAATCTTCCTGCCTCACCATCGTGATTTGATTTCTATTGCTATCATCTCTTTTTAGATGTCATTTTGTATTCTGTTGCTTGTGGTGGTGTTTTAAATGGTGTTGATACCTTATGTCTTTTGATTCAGTATTACATAGAAGGGTTTACTCCTGGATTAGAGTTTAATCTAATGTCTATACTGGCACGTGTTTGGAGATACCTAAGAGACTTATAGGCTAGAGTCTTTTGGGGGTGTAGTAGAGGGAGAGAGGAGTAACAAATTCCTCTTTGGAAAAACAGAACCATAATTATATACTGAGAGCTGTTGGAGAGGGAGAATAATACATTGGATTTATTTTATTTAATATTTTTGAACATTTTATTGTGTAGATTTATTTTAAAACTTTTTTTTCTGTATTGCTTAATTCACTACTCTGTAGAAAACAAATTGCATTAATTGTAATAACCGGGTTAAAAGCAAGTCTGAATTTGTGAAGGCTCTGAATTACAGAAGACCATTTAAAGCATTAATTTTATTGCTTTCAAGTGTCTGACTGGATTTAGGTTTCTGTGTATTAGTCCTATTTGATAGGTTGTACTTTTGGTTAAGTAAATAGTCTTTGATGTGTTGTACTTTTTTGAGAGGGTTAGGATAATCTTTAGCCCAGAAATTTTCTGAAATACAAGTTTTAAAATAGTCAAGGCTTAATTAAGGCTATGTTACTCTTACCATACATAAAGCCTTTTTGTAGCTGTCTACTTGAATGCAAAAACTTACATGTCTTTGATCTTTTACTCTTTCCAAGGAGTTCTCTTACTAGAAATAATTTGCTTTAAAATTCTTTGGCTTATAAGTTCATGGCTTGAACCATGAAGGGTACATATTAATTCTCATCCACAAAAGTTGCTTGTGATGTAGACATAGAAAGTAACTGAATTGGTCAAACATTGCATAAAGGTGGAACTATTTTAACCTTACAAAACTTTATCTACTGCTGTAATTTTGAGGTAGGTAGTATAGTTGCCTTTCTTAATGCTAGTGTGATCCCCCCACCCCCTTCATTAAATCAAAGATAACATAGTAGGAGGCCTGTTTGTAGAGTGGAGAATGTAGTTTGCATGGGATAATTTCAGTGGGCATCATTTTCCAGGTCATTTTGAAACTTAGAAATTGTTTTCTTCTAGTTGGTTGTCTTTATAATAGAAATTAAAAAAATATATATTTGTCTGGTGATGATACCGTTTTTTGGGAAGAAACTTAATTTTAAATATTTGTTTCAGCAGACTTACTGTATCTCATAAAGGAACAATTAGTGTACAGAGACTTTTTTTATTTCAGGTTTTAAATTAAATAGCTTCCCAAGCATGTGTCAGTATTCCATGAACAGGAAAATATATATATATACACACACACAAGTTCCCTTTAAGGTGCAACTTAGTGCAAATTTGCCATACTTAAGAGAAGTCAGATGGTGGAAACCATCATTATATTTCATGCACAAACACTCTGCCAACCACTGTTAAGATTGTTTACTGACTTTATTATGTTAGCTAAGGAGTTTATTATTTTATTAAACAACAATTTATGATTTTATTGAGCACAATGAAATTTGTATACGTATTTTATTTTTTAGTTTGAAGTTAAGTTTCAATGCTCAGTATAAAAAGAGAGAGTGACTTGTACCCTGGTTTGATGTGCATAGAGCTTTAAGAAGTATTGAGTCCATTCCGTAAGAGTATCCTTCTTATTAAATGAGGTAGTTCTCCGTGACAAATCAGGTAGCAGGATGGGGATAAGAAAAAGATACAGTTTGGAGAATTTTTTTTATACCTGTATTTTGTGCCTTTGAAGCCATTCCTTCATATTGCAGTGAGAATAGGTAAGTGCCAGTGGAAGAAATTTTGCAAAGCATATACTTTGCTGATAAGTTAATTTCTATTCATAAAGTCTATCAAATCAGATTATAATGTATTTCTTTAAAACATCTGTTGCTTTATAGGACTGTGGGTAATTTTGGAGGTGTGGGGTGGGGGTGGGAGATGGTGGGTGGTAATAAGATGTTAGAGGGAGTGTCTTAGAAATTTTACCTGTTTCCTATTCCACCATTCCCGATAGCTTCTGTATGTTAGTTATGTTAGTTTAGATTAGTGTGGCGGATGTTAGGAGTGGCCTGGTTTCTTTCCTTCTTTTTCCTAGCCAAGAAAGTATCGCCTGGAGGAGAGGCTAGTTCCGATGGGATCAAAGGCACGAAAAGCAAAGAACCCTATTGGCTGCCTTGCTGACAGGTGTAAATCAGGAGTACCCATCAATATGGTTTGGTGGAACAGAGTCACAGAAAACAATTTACAGGTAAAAAATTTTTATTAGACGTTTTTTGAAAGTGAATATCTTGGCTGCTTTCTGTGTCTGTGGGGTGGTGGGTGTGAAACGATTGGATGACAGCTGATATACTCAGGTGATTTAAAGAATTTCTTAAAGTAAGGTTAGTGGCCAATTAACCAACTAAATGATTTTGTTTATTGGCTTTTTGCACTTTCTCTGATTCTAGTATATTCCCCTATTCTTTTTATTAAATTTATTTTTTCCTTTAGGTTTTTGTTAACAGTTGAGTTTAGTTATTTCTAATATACAGAGTTCTTCAGAGCGCTACGTTAAAAAGTCATATAATAAAATTTATTACAGAAAGTTCCATTTATTTGGAATCTGAACAACAGGAAGAAGCTTCATGTTTTCTTTTTGTACATTTTTACTGTAAAGTGAAAATTGTATATGAACAAACGTATTAAGGATTTATTCTAAAATTAACTTCAGTAATGTTGTCATAAGGTTATTATAGATATATGTTGTCATAAGGTTATTATAGATACCTTTCAGTCTTTAACTCTGCCTTTACTTGTTGGTACTGAATAATGAAAATTAATTTTTACAACTCCAAGCTAGCTTCTGTGTAAAATTCTGAAGTATCTACAAAATAATTTAAATTATGTTCAATTTGAATTTGGATTATTATTAGTATAGTCTTATTTTTTAAAAAATAGGCTATTGTTGTATAATAGCAGATAGTTCTGTTAATTAGAATTTCTGTTTAACCAGAAGTAGAATTTCCTTCCTTTCACACTTCTGAATAAACTGGTGTTTTAAATATATTGCTAGCTAAAGCCTGTAATTCCACATGTATATACCATACACAGAAATAGTATAACAAAGTTAACAAGTTGGTTTTATTTTGCTCATCAGCCTTGTATCATAAAGGGTTCTACAATATTTTGTTCTGTTCGGTATCACTACCATAGCAATGTCTGCGTTGCATTGGGCACAAGAGTAAAGAAGTTGTACCCGAAATATTGCAAAACGTGGTATTTACCCCAACTGAAATTTTGGTTAGGATGTTACTAAAGATAAGGAGAAGCTGAGGAGATCCACATAATCATATACTTAAAATTTTATTGGAAAGTTGTGGATATGACCAATTATGAATAGCAAATACGGTTGTTGTTTTTTTTTTTAACTTTTTTTTTTTTAAATTGTACTTCAGGTGAAGGCTTGCAGAACAAATAGTTTCTCATGAAACAGTAGTACACATATTGTTTTATGACATTGGTTAACAACCCCACAACATGTCAACCCTCTAACTTCTTAACCTTTTTTTTTTTTTGGTGAAAATACACATAGCCAAAGATACACCATTTCAAAAATTTCTACATGCATAGTTCAGTAACATTGACTATGCTCTTCCAATTGTGCTGCTATTCTCACTTAAGATGAAGGCTTACAGAACAAAATAGTTTCTCAGTTAACAATTACTACACATGTTGCCCTATGACAATGGTTAACAGTCTCACAACACATCAACAATATCCTTACTCAACCTTGGGTTCCCTATCACCAGCTTCCTTGTCCCCTTTTGCCTTCTGGCCCTTGTCGCTGGACTCCTTCCTGTACCTTGTTAGTCTCATTTGGTTTTATGGGACTGTCCACTCCCAGGCTGAACAGTGAACCTCGGAGGTAACTTCACCACTGAGCTAAAAGGGTGTCTGGGGGCCATACTCTCGAGCTTCCTCCAGTCTCCTTTAGGCCAGTAAATCTGGTCTTTTTTTTGTGAGTTAGAATTATGCTCTACATCCTTCTCCAGCTCTGTCCAGAACCCTCTGTTGTGATCCTGGTCAGAGCAGTCAGTGGTAGTAGCTGGGCACCATCCAGCTGTACTGGACTCAGTCCGGTGGAGGCCTTGGTAGCTGTGGACCATTAGTCCTTTGGACTAATCTTTTCCTTGTATCCTGTTCTCTTCATTCTCCCTTGCTCCCGAAGGGATGAGACCAGTGGAGTATCTTAGATGGCCGCTCACAGGCTTTTAAGACCCCTGAACACTACTCACCAAGGTAGAATGTAGAACATTGTCTTTATAAGCTGTGTCATGCCAATTGAGCTAGATGTTCCCCGAGACCATGGTCCCCACAGCCCTCTGCCCAGCAATTCAGTCCCTCAGGGAGTTTGGATGTGTCTATGGGGCTTCCATGACCTTTCCTTGTACAAGTTGTGCTAGTTTCCCCTGTATTGTGTACTGTCTCACCCTTCACCCAAGATACCACTTATCTATTGCCTATTTAGTGTTTCCCCCCCACCCCTCCCATTCCTGGTAACCAACAAAGATTGTTACATTTTGTGTGTGAACTTTTTCATGGGTTTTTACAATAGAGGTCTCATACAATATCTGTCCTTTTGTGATTGACTTACTTCACTCAGCACAATGTCCTCCAGTTTCATCCATGTTACGAGATGGTTCACAGATTCATTGTTCTTTTTCGTTGCATAGTACTCCATTGTGTGTATGTACCATAGTTTGTTTATCCATTCTTCTGCTGATGGGCATCTCGGTTGTTTCCATCGTTTTGCTATCATGAACAATGCTGCCATGAACATAGGTGTGCATATGTCTATTCGAGTGACGACTCTTATTTCTCTAGGATATATTCCTAGGAGTGGGGTTGCTGGATCGAATGGTATATCTATTTCTAGCTTTCTGAGGAAGCGCCATATCATTTTCCAAAATGGTTGTATCATTTTGCATCCCCACCAGCAGTGGTGGGATCTCCCCGCAGCCCCTCCAACATTTGTTATTTCTAGTGTTTTTGATTCGTGGCAGTAATGCCAGGGTGAGGTGGTATCTCATCGTGGTTTTAATTTGCATTTCTCTAATGGCTAGTGATCGGGAGCATTTCCTCATGTCTGTTGGCCTCAATACAGTTGTTTTGCTGAAGTTTTCTTTCCTTTGTGATCAGTAGAGAGATTTGATAGGGGTTACAATTGTTTTTCACTTTTATAAAGAAAGTCTGAAAATAAATTGGAACCCAACTGTATTAGAACAGATAAAAGTGGAACTGGAAGGGATGTTGGGGGGTTGGAACACTGGTAAATGCAGAGGCGTAACCACATGACCTACCTGGAACTGCCTTATCCAAATGGCAGTTCTGAGGTACTCCTTTTGAGTACATTTTAAAAGTCATTCCATTAGTATCAGAACATACACTATAGTTATGCTTTATTTTTTTAAATTAAAACAGCTAGTAATAGATTTGCATTCATATGTGAGAAAGGTTGGATTGGTGTCATCTGAATTTAATATTTCAGATAGTATTTTACGCTTCAAATAGTCTGAATAGTTCTTTTTCTTTAAGGATATGAGGAATGCTATATTACTGAGTCTACTAATACCCCACATTTGTATAGCATTTCATAGCTGTAAAATGCCTCAGATTATCAGTCACACGTTGAAATATTGAAAAATACCTGTTTAGTCTCCATTGGAGCCCTGGTAGTGCAGTGGTTAATTGCTTGCCTGCTAACCCCAAGGTCGGCAGTTCAAATCCACCAGCTGCTCCTAGGAAGCCCTGGGGGACAGTTCTACTCTCATAGGGTCACTGTGAGTCGGAGTTGGCCCGGCGACAACGGATTTGGTTTTGTTTTTTTTATCTCCATGACTGTCTCTGTGGATTCCTCACCTGGAGACCCCTAGAGTACTTTATGCAGAGCAGAGAGTGTCGTCTAGTTTTTCTTTTTTCCTACTGGAGTTTTCTTCTCTGTTTTGTATAAGAAAAATAATTTACAAAAAACAATTCTATACCAGTTTTTTTCGTTTTCTATGACGTTTACCTTTTAATATCATTTTATGTTTCGGATATAAAAGCCTTAAAGGGTTGTGTAGTCAGATACATTCATCTTTCCTGTTTTGCTTGTTTCCTTCTCTTTAAAGCTTAGGTCTTCTCAAACAAAAGGTCAGAAATACTGATCTGTATTTTATTTTAATAATAATGGCTATGTTTCTTAAAATAGTTACCTTGTGCCAGGCCGTCTACTAAGCCCTTTGCAAATATTGTCTCTTTTGATCTTCTTAATAATTTATAGGATCAATATTACTGTTAGTGTTAAATGAAGAAACATCTTTAGAGAAGTTAAGTAACTTTAAGAGTATAAAGTAGTCCCTAGAGGAGAGAAAATTTGAACATATGTTTGTCAGACTTTAAAACCTGTACTCTTCACCTTTGTGTGATGTTAACTGGACTTCTGTGGGGCAATTTTTTGAGGATGAGAGTGCATACGTAGTTTTCCAGACTATACAGTAAGTTATGCTTAACTGCGATATTTGTAAAGTCAGTCCTTTTTCCTCTTGTTTCATCTTTTCTTCAGTGACATTTAAATACCTTTCTTTCTGCAGTGTCTTGACTTAGCATTGTGGCCTTTTTCCACTTATTGCATTCATTCTCATCAGTGCCGGGTTTCTTTCAAGAGCCTCGTGATTCCCAACCTTTTGTTACTTAATAATCCTTTATTCACTTTTACCAAGAATCTCATAACGTGAAAGAGCCTGTCTACCAAGCATACAGCATTTAAAAAAGAAATTCATATTTTCACTTTAAAATGCGTATGTATCCGAAACTGTTGCCGTTGAGTTGATTCTGACTCATAGCGACCCTATAGGACAGAGTAGAACTGCCCTATAAGGTTTCCAAGGAGCAGCTGGTGGATTTGAACTGCTGATCTTGTTGTTAGCAGTCATATTAGCTCTTAACTACTCCACCACCAGGGTTTCCATATATGTATAGAACTGCTGCTTAGCGACTCAGAACAACTTAGTATTTTCCTTAGTCTGTTGTAGCTTTGTGGAGGGTACGTTTACTCTTCACATGGCTGTTTGAAATATTGAAAAAAGCCACCTGGTCTCCATTACTATGTTTGCGGTGTCCCCATTTGGGGACCCTGGGGTTAATTTCTGCTGTTTTCTCTGATTACGATCCATTTATTCTTTGAATGCCTGCAGTTTGGTGTCACCAAAATTTTGTTGTAACTGCAGG